TTCACTAGTCAGTAACGAGTTCCAAAACTAGAGAATAGTGCCTCCTTTTGTGTAAGACAAAAATTAACTAGAGAGAACAGTTCTCATCATCCTTAGGAGCCACTAAATTACAGAGTTGCCAATTCAGGAACAACATCCACTAGCAAGACCAGAAAGTCAGAAAGGTTTTAAAGGTGACTGGCTGGATGTTGAAGAGAAGAGGGCAAATGGAAAAGATCTAGCTGAAATCAGCAAGTCAGGTGGTGAAGGTGGATGTGGGATCTACAGAGATAAATGATCAAGATGTGGGATAGAAGTTGTCAGGTACAAGAAAGGACATCATGACCAAGCAGGTGTCCAGAGAAATCCCGGAGAATTCAATTGAAAAACTCAGACAGTCATACTGAAACAGTACAACACAGGGCAATGCATGTTAGTGGTCAAGCCCATGTGTTAGCAAATGCAGTTGAGGAATATCAAAGCAGTTATCATGCAAATGTCATGAACCTCCAGCAGCAGTAGAGAAGCAATTCTTTAAAAGTCATCCAAGGGGCAGCTAGGTGGCTCAGTTGAATAGAGCTCTGGCTTGGGAGTCAGAAGGACCTGAGTTTCAAATCCAGCCTCAGACCCTTAACACTTACTAGCTGTGTGACCTTGGGCAGGCACTTAACCCCGATTGCCTCACCAGAAAGCAAAACACTAAAAACTAAAAGTCATCCAAGTGAAATTGAGATAAACTAACAGTGACAAATATGTAATGCCACAAAGACTATAACTTTACCATTTAAAATAGGAAAGCTACAGCTAAGAAAGCCATTGTTAAATATGCATAAAATGTATGTGACCACAAATAACAAATTAATATTACTAGCTCAGTCAGTTCTTTGATAAAAATCAAGTCATAGCTGACTCCATATGTTTCTTTCTGGGTTATCAAACGGTCTCATTTGGAAATGTAATATATAGCTCTGCTCAATTGATCCATATCTTGACCCAAATGCTGGGCAGAACACTGCTGTTGATGCTTAGATTTTGTTGGCTTATTCTGGAAGTCCCAAAAGCGGTAGGCCATCTGTTTTTGAATGGAACTGTCGCATGGATGACTGTAGCTGTCACGGTTTGAAATCAGACCAAAGGAGGGCAAAGTGACTTTTCTACTTAGACCTGAAACTATCTGGCTAGTATGAACTTTGGGCTCTTCATCAACTGCTCCAGCGTGGACTTGTGTTTATTGGTTATGGCATAATTTACGTGGTGGTGATTATGCCACGGGAGAGGAGGAAGAGTCTCACGGTACACCCTGCACTTACAGAAATATCTGTGACCCCCAAGAAAAGTGTCACCTATTTAAAGCAAAAACTACCCTCCTTCATTTCAAGAAAGTGAAGCCAATGCAGCAAAACCTAAAATGAAAAAGAAACCGAGGGAGCAAGTTATTTGCATGTGCACTTTTCCTTCCCTTGTTGTACCCTTCCTTTCCTCTTGCCTGTAGTATTAGTACATCTCATCACAACGAGTATTTCACTTCCTGCAGTTCTGCAGGGAATGTCTTAAGGCACAATCACTTCCTCTCCCTGCCTGACTTCCAACCAGTTTTGACTCTTGTTTGTGTGCACATGGTTATGTAGAAGTGATGGTGCCCTATCCTCTGCAGGGTTCTGATCCTGTACAATTTCTGTTGACATCCAGTCAGTTGGGAACAAAGCCAGAACTGAAAGAAAAAAAAAGTTTTAGAAAGAGATGGATGAAGTCATCTGGTAGAGGCGAGAGCTAAAGTAGATGACCCACTGACCTGGATCTCTATGAGGGACAGGTTCAGGACTCAAACAACAGGGCAGGGAACAGTAGCTGATTGGCCTGCATGGAGTCATTTTCGAGATAATGCGGGGAGTATGATCAGCCAATAGACGGTGGTCGCCTGTGGTGCAGGTTTGGCGAGTGACGTCAGTAAGGGACAGACCGTTATGCAGATGAGGAGACCAAGCAGATTGTGCGTCTGGAAAAGGTGGATTTGGGGGTCGGAGGGGCCGAGGCGAGTTGGGAGGGGTTGAAGCGCTTGCGGGTGTTGGCGGTTTGTGCTTGTGGAGCGTGTGTCGTTGGGCTGTGGAAGCGCCGCGTGAGTGATCGTGCGTTTAGAGTGTGTGTGCGTGGAGGGAGTGGTGGAGCGCGGCGTGGTGGGGCATACTTACCTGGCAGGGGTGATTCCATGATCACGAAGGTGGTTTCCCCAGGGCGAGGCTTATCCATTGCACTCCGGATGGGCTGACCCCTGCGATTTCCCCAAATGCGGGAAACTCGACTGCATAATTTGTGGTAGTGGGGGACTGCGTTCGCGCTCTCCCCTGATCTCGAGTCTTCCAAAAATAGTCACAGGTCCTGCAGCTGCTACCTGCTTTCTGCCACAGTGCGTCTCCTTGCTTGTTCGCGATCCACAAAGCAAGCAGCTCGCTATTCTGAAACTCTCCCCAAGCAGTCACGTCGTCAGTGTGCTTTCCAAACTGCTGCTGCTAGTCAAAACCGCCTCTGAGACCCCGAGGTGGTGCTGGACAATCCTTGCTCTCAGCCTTCTTCCCTAACTAACCGGGGGGGGGGGGGATAACGATACCTTCATCTCCAACGCCGTTTTTCAACCCTTTGAGGCCTACACCCCGCACATAACTGACCTCCTGCAAGTTACCCAAGCGTGGAGAAAACTCCATCTCATCACAGGTTTTAGGGACATATGTTGCTTCACGGTTTCCAAGACGAGCTCTCATATCTTTTATTTTCCCCACCAATTATATGTAAAGACCATTTTTTTAACGTTCCTTTTTAAGTTCTGATTTCCAAATTTCATTCTTCCCTCCTCTCTCCCTCCCTGACATGGTAAGCAATCCGATATAGGATATACATGTACTATCACGTAAAATATTTCCACATTAGTCATTTTGTGGGAGAAAACGAATGAAAGACAGACAGACAGACAGACAGACAGAGAGAGAGAGAGACAGACAGACAGACAGACAGACAGAAAGAAAGAAAGAAAGAAAGAAAGAAAGAAAGAAAGAAAGAAAGAAAGAAGAAAGACTTGCCTGATATTCTACCGGGTTCCTTTTGTCTTTTGCTGCATGGTGAAATTCGGTGCCCACAGTAATCCTGAGCAGTCAATGAGTAGGTTTTGGTTTTGAATTAAATGCATTTTTTCAAAGAACAAAAGTTTTATTTTCTCCCTATCACCTTCCACTGCTGCAAAACCGAAAACCGTTGGAACATGTATGAGTAGAGGGCAAAAGAAATAGCCTCATTGAGTATGACCCAAAAAAAAAACCCAACCAAAAACACCAAACCAACAACACTGCCCCTCATTCTGCACCCTGACTGCACCACCACTCACTCACCTATCCGCAGGAATCTCGATTGGTCCCTGTGCTGATGAGCATTTCTAAGGTACACGTAGTTGTGATGGATTCCTAGGTTCTGTGGGTTGGTGACCCGGGCTGGGCCCTTCAGGCACGTCTCCTTCCCTGGGAGCTAGGCTTCCGACGTCTCCGGACCCACCCTGGGGGAAAGGTGGGCTCAAGGACCAGACAGGACGCGAGTGTGGTGTATGCTCTTTATTGTGGAGGATCCCCCGATCCTTTGTTCTCAGCCCGTTATATAATCTGAGGGCGGGTCATGAAGGCTACAAGGATCCAACCCGAAGGCGGTGCCAACAACCCATTAGCGGAGCCTCCCCAGCACCTCATCCTGGATTGCCGCGTAGCTCACTGCTGAGCCCGCAAGCTATCCCAGAAGAGGCGGGTCCCAACTCCTGGGGTGTCACCTCTCCATTCAGGTGTCCCCTGCCAGCCCCCAATCACCTTTACCTCTCCATTCCGACATCTCTTACCAGCCCCCAACAATCTCCCCCTTTTTGTTTAAAGAGGATGGGTGCTGTTAGCATTACGGAATTCTGCCTTAAGGGCTGCGAGGGATCTTTTGAGAAGAGAAAGAAAACAAGAAATAAGGCATGGGAGGAAAACACATAACAAAAAACCTCCTACAAGTACAAGAGCACCATGGAGGATCCATTGGAGGACATTTTGGTATTGAAAATCGTCCCACCATTTAACCGTTTTGGAGATTGAGTCCTCCCAATCTTGGGAAAAGTGCAGGGTAGCATTCTCTATGGCCATGATGATCAAATCCAGCTGCTGAAGCTCGGTAGCAAAGACAACGCCTGTGGTGGCGTTGCGTAGAATGTCCTCCAAATCATTATACATGGTTGAATTATAAGGGATAGGGGTTACACAAACAGGGCGATATTTATAATGACATGACAAGCGCATATAACGCAGCATAAAAGCTTGTTGATGTAACAATACTTGCACAGTAGCAGAAAGGGTAGTGATTTGTCGTTCCAAGAGACGGTCGAGTGTCTCTTGATGTTTCCAGGCTTGACTTTCTAAATGCATGAAATGCTGCAAGGACTCTGCTAAGAAAGTGACTTGTTTATGTAATTGCATTATTTGTGTCTCTTCTATAATTGAAAGGGCCAGCGCAGCTACTGCCACGATGTCAGTGGGATCAATATCCCGTTTAACCAGTTTACATAGGAGAGAATCCGATAAAGACAATGCGAATGGATCGGCTCTCACAGGGTGAAGAGTAAAGGGGGGTACACGTAAAAGCAGGACGATAAAAGAGGTATGGGAGGTGTTAAGAGTGTTAGTCAAGGTAGCATTAGTACAGTGTATAGTGTAACCGGTTTTGTTATTTGCCTGGGGCACGATTGAAATGGTGAAGTTCCCTGGAGGGCACAAAAGGAAAAGAGCATCAGGTGTCGTTTGTGCCTCGGCTGTAAAAGTATAACAAAGAATGTCAGTAGTTGTGGTAGCATTCGTCTCATGACAAGTACTATTTTTGTTCCCAAAAATCTTATGCCATGTTGCAAAAGGAAATCCGTGCTGTACTTTGGCAGCGGTCTGATTGTAGCGGACAAAGGTAGGATGAAGAGCAAGACCTGCCTTCCACCAATGACTTTGCAAGGGTGCCTTCTCTTTAAAGGGGATGGGTGCAGGAAGTATAGAAGTTTGTGGATAATTATCGGCAAACCATATAGATTCGTTAGTATTGTTCAACCTACTAAAGTTTCCTGTACTACAAGCATGAAGGGGTTCGAATATATGAGGGGCGGTAAGTGGACAAGGGGGTAGCGAAGTAGTAACAGTATGGTTATTACTGAAATTGCGAATCAAAGAGGCGAGAGTTATGTTTAAGGAACCATAAGTAGCATTCAATAACTCTGATTCTAGAAAGGAAGGTTGGGAAATAGACCAATTTGAAAGAGGATAGCACAGTTGAGAAATGCTGCTATTCGAGATATTTGAAGGGGATAAGCACAGAGGCAACGCCGCAGAAGTCCAAGTAACGTTCATTCCAGTTTTGGAGATAATAGGAACCGCCAGTCCCAAGTCACCCGTTAACCAAGATGCGTTGCCAAAGAGGAAAAGTGGGCTTGCCTCGTGATTCCACGTCATGAGTTGAAAAATGGGCAGATGTGGTGTTAGTGCCCAGTACATAGGTGTCTCTGTCTCCAACGAGACCCAGGTAGTGTTAAATTGGTGTAGGTTGATCACAGGGGTTGGACATTCCCAAACGACCAGCAAAAGAGAGAGCCATATTTCAGGCCTCATTATCCCTCCCGTGCCTGTGGAAAGAAAATAACCGGAGTGGAAACGCAAGAAGGTTCGTTTCTATATCTCCTCTGGCGGCACACACGGCAGTCCCCGCGGCGCCCCCTCTTGTGTCTCCTTCTCCTGGTACGCCTTTTCTTCTTTTTTCTCAAGTTCTCTGGCCCACCGGACAGGGATCCATCTTCCTTTATCATTGTCCTTTTCATTCTGTGGAGACACAAAGAGATAACCCTTCCCCCGGATAGTTACTCTATCTGGACCATGCCACACACCCTCAGGGTCTCTCCACATAACAGAAGCGCCTTGCTCCAGCAGCTCCTGCCGTGGGGTCAAAGACGGTGCGTGCACACCGGTATCACGTGGGCGAAAAAACCTCTCAGCTCGGGTTAGGCCATCATCAGTCACTTGTAAGAAATTTAAAGTGAATAAAACCTGATCAAGGAGGGCCCTGGTAAGTCTGCCTGGGATTCCCCCTTTTTGTTTAACAAGAAGCTGCTTCAAAGTTTGGTGGGCTCGTAATATGTCCCGCCCTTCCGCACTTAAAACAGCGGACTTGTGGGGTACCCTGGGTACATTGATTCTGAAAATGACCTGTTTTCCCGCAACGGAAACAAGTCCCCTTTGCTCTAGTCCCCGAGTTAGCTGCCTGCGCTGCGGCGAAAGCTTCTGTCAGTACCTGGATCATGCCTGCATCAGGTAAGGGACCTTCCTCCAGGCAGACATCAATGCATTCTTCCCATGTGGGGTCTGGTGGTAACTTTGACAACAACCCTCGTGACTGTTTAAGTCCTTCTTTGAAAAGCTGTATCAGCAGCTTTTGGGCAACATCTCCTGCTCCATATCTCTTTTCCACAACCTCTTGTGCTCGGGACGCAAATTCCATGGCACTTTCTTTTGGCCTTTGCACGAGTTTGTTTAAAGGAGGTTGTGATTTCTCCCCTAGTCTATCCAATGCTCTTAGCGCCACCATCTGGGCACCTTGTATAGCAAGGTCTGGGAGTAAAAGCTGTGCCTGCAGCCCAGCATACTGGCCATACCCAGTTAGCATATTAATGGTATCTTCTACATTCTGAGGGAAATTAACCTCCGCCCAGGTCCTAGCCTCTCGGCGTCTGTACGCCGACCAGGCGGTGTAAGCAGCACTCTCTAATACAGCAGACATAATTTCATCCCAATCTCCTGGGGTCCAAGCGGCCACAGCCACAGTAGATTGCAACAGCTGCTTAACATAAGAAGAGCCCGCTCCATATACTTTTACTGCCTCTTTCAAATCTTTCATGAACTTATAGGGCACTGGTCGGTGAGACCGACCACCTCCTCCGGGACCTCCCTGGACAAAAATCGGGAATTCCTGTCCCCACTCTTTCCAGTCTACTACCTGCCCGTCCCTAGCGGCCTCTCGCAATGAGTGCTGTAAAAGTGAGGCCTGCGGGGTCTGTTCGTTCTTCCCTCTTTTGTCAAGCCGCATTTGGTTTATTTGGGCCTGTAGTTGCTGTATCTGCATTTCTAACTGCGCCACAGGCGGAACTTCCTCTTTCTGGAATTCTAACTGCGCCACAGGCGGAACTTCCTCTTTCTGGAATTCTAACTGCGCCACAGGCGGAACTTTCTCTTTCTGCTGCCAACGTGGCACATACGGGGGGAGCGGCTCCGGACTCGGCCATGGCGCGGACGGGATTTCAGGGGGCTTAGGGGGCTCAGGCCATGGCTCGTCTTGACCCTCAAGGTCTTGTTCCCCTCCTAATAAGGATGTTCCTACCTGTGTCTCCTCCGCTACTATTACCGGCGGAGGGCGCGGAGAGAGGGCAAAAGTCACAATGCCATAAAGAGTAAAATCCTCTGGTTTTAAGAACCCTGGTTCTGTCTCTGCGTAGGAAGACATCTGACTCCCAACTATTTTCCATCTTTGATAATCAATCCCTTGGTTCTGTAACCACGGGGACACCACTATAAGTTTTTCTACCCATTCCTGACAGCGTCTCAGCTGTATTTTTACCCCATTATCCCTACAAAGTTTATACACTTGTAGGACTAGCACTCGCTTATCCTCCGGTGTAATTCCTTTACTATATCGTGCTCCCATCTTTCCTCTATGCAGCCCCGATCTGCATAGGCTGTCGGTCCCTTCCTCTCTTTCACTGGAGAGAGGGTACTTACCCGTACCTGGCGGGGTCGCCGAAGAGGAACTTAAGTCCCTGTTCGGGCGCCACTTGACCCGGGCTGGGCCCTTCAGGCACGTCTCCTTCCCTGGGAGCTAGGCTTCGGACGTCTCCGGACCCACCCTGGGGGAAAGGTGGGCTCAAGGACCAGACAGGACGCGAGTGTGGTGTATGCTCTTTATTGTGGAGGATCCCCCGATCCTGTGTTCTCAGCCCGTTATATAATCTGAGGGCGGGTCATGAAGGCTACAAGGATCCACCCCGAAGGCGGTGCCAACAACCCATTAGCGGAGCCTCCCCAGCACCTCATCCTGGATTGCCGCGTAGCTCACTGCTGAGCCCGCAAGCTATCCCAGAAGAGGCGGGTCCCAACTCCTGGGGTGTCACCTCTCCATTCAGGTGTCCCCTGCCAGCCCCCAATCACCTTTACCTCTCCATTCCGACATCTCTTACCAGCCCCCAACAGGTTGGTTTGTCAGTGAGTTCTCGGTGCTTGTCATGGCATAGGACAGGGGCGGCTAAGCAGGCCTAGAAGCCTACTGTTGTAGTCTCCTTTTTCATCCAGAACCTGGGGTGTTTGCAGGGGAGGGGGGAGGGACTTGCCTGCGCGGCTGCGAGTGTGTGTAGCTTGAAAGCTTTTCTGTTTTGTTTGTTTGTTTGTTTTCGCGTTGGAGAAAAGTGAAGAAATCATGCAGTGGCTTTTAAAATTCGAGGTGAGGTTCGTCATTCTGAGCGGTCGCTGTCCTCTGCTTTCAGGCACCTCAAAACGTCTCCTTGGAATGCAGGCTAGTTGATCCAGTGGCTTAAATTACTGTCTGCATGCGTTTTCGAGGAAGGAAAGGCATTGGTTCTTTGCTACTGAGCCCCACCTCTCCCCAGGCAAGCGCTAGGAAGACAAGTGCAACTCGCATGGGGGAAGGCGATTGTCGGCCCTCTGCGGAGCCAAGCCGGAGCCAAAGCACTTCTGACTCCTGGTCTCTTGGGACAGCAACGGAATTCTTCGTGTCTCTTTCTTTTTGCTTACGCGTCAAGGTACCCCCCGAAGGGAAGTGCACCGTTCCCAGAAGTACTGCAATACTGGGTCGATGCGTGGAGTGGACGGAGCAAGCTCCTATTCCATCTCCCACGTTCAAAAATCCATTTAATATATTGTCCTCAGATAGAGGACGTATCAGATATTAAACTGATAAGAACAGATACTACACTTGATCTTAGCCAAAAGGCCGAGAAGCGATAAAGAGCAAGCCGCCCACTCCCCTCCCCCTTCGCAGCAACAGCCTTTTCCACTCGCGCCCACTACGAAGCCTTTCACCAAGCCTCTCCCGCCCTCAGCTACCTCCTACACTCCACAAAACAGCTGCCAGCCTGGCGCTTTTACGCAAACACACGGTCGCCTAAAGGCACCCCAGAAAATGGACCTTTACCAGATCGTAGCCCTCTCTTCGGCCAGGAAGTGACTTTCCTGCCACCCAGAAGCCTTTGCTTCCTGGCTTGCTCAATATTTGCATAGCTCTCCTCCCTCCCGCACTTTCCCTGTCATCTCTCCTTCCCTTTTCTTCTTTCCTTTCCTTTCCTTTCCTTTCCTTTCCTTTCCTTTCCTTTCCTTTCCTTTCCTTTCCTTTCCTTTCCTTTCCTTTCCTTTCCTTTCCTTTCCTTTCCTTTCCTTTCCTTTCCTTTCCTTTCCTTTCCTTTCCTTTCCTTTCCTTTCCTTTCCTTTCCTTTCCTTTCCTTTCCTTTCCTTTCCTTTCCTTTCCTTTCCTTCCGTTTCTTCTTCAAAGGGCTCCAAAAGCTATGCAGAAACCCACCTACCAGGAAGGGCAGGCGGGGCGCCCCGATCACCTTGATGGGGGACCAGCAGTTCACAGATGCCCTCAATTGCTGGCTACCTGGGTGTCCCGCTGCCTTGTCAGAGCCCTGAGCGATAGAAAAGACTGAAGAAGAGGGGGGCAGGGGGAGAGCAAGGAAGCTGGCATTTTCAGTATGGTAAGACATGAGAGAAACAAACCATTCCGTCTCCCTTTTCCAAAAATCCATTTCACGCCTCGTCCGGGGCTAGCTGAACCCGGGTTCGATGACTCCAAGCCCCATGCCCTCTCCCCTCTACCATACTGCCTCTTGCATGTTTTCTGTAGCACATTTCCATCTACCTCACACACTTATGATCGCTGCAGCCACCACACTGGTAATCCTACGAAGAGATCGTGTTCAAATACACTCCTGCTTTTCTGTGTGTATGCAAGGTCAGCCAGCCAAACATTTCTTCCACCCATCAGTGTCCCAAGTCCTCGGTGCCAACCGTCCAGCCTGGATCCTAAATTGGACAGCGATGGTGCCTGAGGACTCAAGAGTGATGTGTCCTCTTCATTCTACCCTGGGCAGATGACAACACCCCATCCCTATCTGCCTCCATAATGTCACACTCACTGCTCGTGGATCTGCTTCCAGAGAGGAAGATTCTGTCCTCGAAGAGTCAGAAAGAATGCCCCGCTCCATGGGAGGTCATTAACCTTGACATGTGGGTTTCACCTGGACAAACCTTTTCGTTATATGGCGTGCCTCCTGATCTTCAGCAGCCGACAGAATACCCTGCTTCAAGAGGTGTTCCCTTGGTCACACAGGAGAACGCAGAGGCAAAAAAATCATCAAAGCCAACCAGGGAATCAGCCTCACTAGAGCCCCCCCAGCTTTTGTGCTCTCCTGCATATCAACACGGTCAACTCATGAGTATGAAAACCAATTCAGAAACCTTCGTATGAAGCGGGCGTCACCGATGTTATTTCTTTTTGTTTGTTTTAGGTAATATTTTATTTTTCCAATTACCTGTAAAGACAATTTTTAAACATTCATTTTTATAAGACTTGGAATTCCAAATTTCTCTGCTTTCCTCCTCTCCTCCCTAGCGCGGTAAGCAATTGGATACATGAGCAATCATGTAAAGCATATTTCCATATTAGAAGAAACAGAACAACAGTGGGGGGAAAAGCTAAGGAAAAAAAAAGAAAGTGAAAATAGTATGCTTCGATCTGCATTCAGACTCCATTAGTTCTTTCTCTGGATGTGGAGAACATTCTCCATCATGAGTCCCTTGGAACAGTCTTGGATCATTGTCTTCATGAGAGGAGTTAAGTCTATCTTAGCTATTCCTTGCATGATGGTGATGTTCCTGTGTACGGTGTTCTCCTGGTTCTGCTTACATGAGTAAGTCTTTCCAGGTTTCTCTGAAATCTGCATGCTTGTTATTTCATAAAGCGCAATAGTATTCCATTACATTCAATGACTTGTTCAGCCATTCCCCGATTGATGGGCATCCCCACAGTTACCACACACAGAGCTGCTATAAATATTTTTGTGCATCTGGGTCCCTTTCCCTTCTTCAGGATCTGCTTGGGATATAGACCTACTAACGGTCTTGTTGAATCAAAAGGTATTCAAAGGTTGATTGCCCTTTGAGCATAGTTCCAAATTGCTCTTCAGAATGGCTGGATCACTTCACAACTCCACCAAGAGTGCCTTAGTGGACCAGTTTTCCTCTATCTTCTCCAGCATTTGTAATTTTTCTTTTCTGTCACAAGAGCTTCTATGATAGGTGTGAGGTGGCACGTCATAGTTGTTTTAACTTCCGTTTCTCTAGTCAATAGTGATTTAGTGCATTTTTCCATATGACTATAGATAGATAGCTTCAGTTTCTTCCTCTGAAAACTGCCTGTTCGTATCCTTTGACCACATATCAATTGGAGAATGATTTGTATTCTTCTAAATTCTTTCTAAAGTTCTCTATGTACTTGAGAAATGAGGCCTTTCTCAGAGACACTTGCTGCAAAAACTGTTTCCCAGCTTCCTGCTTTCCTTCTAATCTTCATTGCATTGGTTTTGTTTGTGCAAAATCTTTTCAATTTAATATAATCAAAATTACTCATTTTGCATCTTGTAATGCTCTCTGTCTCTCATTTGGTCCTAACTTCTTCCCTTCCCTGTAGATCTGACAGGTAAACTGTTCCTTACTCTCCTAATTTGCCTATGATATCCCACTTTATGTCTAACTCATGTACCCATTTTGGCCTTATGTTGGTCTATGGTGTAAGGTGTTGGTCTATGCCTAGTTTCTGTCATACTCCTTTCCAGTTTTCCTAGCAGTTTTTGTCAAATAGTGAGTTCTTATCCCAGAAGCCAGGGTCTTAGGGTTTATCAAACAGTAGATTACTATAGTCATTGAATACGGTGTCTTGTGTACCTAACCTATTCCACTGATCCACCACTCTGTTTCTTAGCCAGTACCAAGTAGTTGTGATGATTGCTGTTTTTCAAATACAGTTGAAGATGTGGTATGGCTAGGCCACCTTCCCTTGCATTTCTTGTCATGAATTCTCTGAATATTCCGGACCTTTTGTTCTTCTGGAGGAATCTTGTTATTCTTTTTTCTAGTTCTATAAAATCATTTTTTGGCAGTCTGATTGTTCTGGCACTGAATAAGTACATTAGTTTAGGTGGAATTGCCATTTTTATTATATTAGCTCAGCCTACCCATGAGCAACTGATATTTTCCCAATTATGTAGATCGGACTTTATTTGTCTGAAAAGTGTTTTCTAGCTGTTATAACTTATGGAGCATTTTAAGTAATATCCTTTTGAAAAACTGTTGTGATGCTTATTCTGAGTATTGCATGTAATGTGACTTATTTAAAGCCTTCAAATTTTTACCTTTATTTATTTATTTATTTGCTTCTTTCATGTTAGTTTACCAATACCTTTAGGGTGATGTAATTTTTGTTGGTCAGTCTGCACATTCAGCCATTCAGAGCAAGAGGGCCTGCATGTGGCAATAGTTACAATGAATTGAGGTCCAGAGTAGAATGAGGTAGGGATGGGAAAATAATATCATCTGAGTGCAGCATTCAACATTGTGGAAAGAAGACTTATGTAACTACCGAACCGTAGTGCTATTAGAAACTATGAATTTCCAAATGAATCTGAACACTTGTTTTCATATTTCTTTTCTAGTCCAATAATTTTATTTTTGAAAATGTACACACATGTTGAACCGTTTCATGCATCTTCAGCAGCAGGAGCATCTCCACCCTTGGTGTTCCTGGTATAGATCACTTGTGCTCTGTGTTTGGAAACTAGCTTAATCAGACCTTTACTAAGCAGTTCCTGGAGGGCTGCCCGGGTTAGACAACCCCGGACCTTCAGTCCCTCGGAGACTACTGCAGGGGTGATAAGTTTATAGTTGGGGACCTCCTTGCAGAGTTTGTCGTACGTTGCTTTGTCAAACAGAACCAGATTGTTGAGCTTGTCCCGAACTTTTCCTTTGGACCACTTCTTCTTCTTAGCCTTGCCCCCAGGCTTGTTCACGGGATCTTTGTCCTTCTTGGCCGACTTGCCGGCATCTTTCTTCTTCTTATCGTCCTTGGGCGGCATGGTGAGGCTTCAGGAACTCCCCCTGCTGCCGCCTCCAAGCTAAGATGTCAGACA